AATAATTTAAAATCATTAGTAGTTTTCTAAATGTAAAATCCTAAATTACAAGAAAAAGAAAAATTATTTATTAAGTACTTATCTAAATCTAACATGATGTTATAACTTCTGTTAATTAAATAATTTTCATTGGTTTTTCAAAACTTGGGTGCAACTCTATTTCACTTTTTTATTTTAATAACTTAATAAACCTAGTTTGTAGTTTCAAGCTTAATATTTTATTGAACGTTACTCCAAAACTAATAAAAAGAAGTTTAAATTTAAATAGTTGTTCTTTAAACAATAATAACCGACTCCCCAAACCGCAAGGAAAATAATTTTTAAAATATACAATGATTACAATTTTAAATTGATTGTAAATTTATTTTACACTTACCCTTTTTGCTGTGATAGCCATTTCGGTGAACTATAATGGACGTATTAAAATAATCACATAAACTAAAAGCGCAACCGGTAGTAAAAAGACGGTTTTTCAAAATCACAATTCGCAACACAAATCCAGGTATTGCCTTAAATAATTGCGATAATTGAATGTCTTCGTTGAGTATTGTGCCCGCTTGTTGACGTCCTGTTTAACAATTATTCTTCGAAAATGGTAATCAGTATTATTTATTCGAGGCGCTTGGGCTGTTTAGTAAAAGAAATTAACTCTAAACTGTAAACTGTATACATGTTAGTTAAAGATAAACTTTTGGTGATGCAACTAATATTAATGATAACAACTAATTAAAACATTATTACAGCAATACATTATTGTAAGATTTACAGCAATAGTGCGGATTTACAAATAAGTATAAAAATGAATAAGTATTAACGGCATTTATTACGCATTCAATAAAAGAAATTAACAAAAGTATTAACAATTAATATATTGTTTAGTTTTTTCTCATTTCATTTCATTTCATTCTTGAAAGTAGCTTCAGCCACCATTTTGGTAATAATGGCACTAAGTCCGGTTAATTGTAGCGTAAATTAATGTACGCTTTTTTATCTGCATTTTATTTTGATTGTGGTTAAGCTTTTCACAAAAAATGCTTGGTTTCTATTTTCTAGAATTAGTCACCAGGATTTCTTGTTAGAAAAGGTGTCGATTTTTTCAGAAATATTTTTTTTATTACATAGAACATTATTACTATAAGTAAGAATAATTCATAATCAATTTTATCGACAAATTATAATGCTGCTTAAAAACTTAAATGCAGATTATTTTATAAACCTAAAAGTGTCATTCGATGTTTAGAAGATTTACGTTTGATGTTACCACAACGATCCCTAAATAAAGTGATAAAAACAATATCTGTTTATATCGTTTTGCATGTAACTCCGGTTTTTATGATAATAAAGTGCATGACCCCTGAATACTGATTTTACGAATATTATTGAAGTTGTTTTACCATTTATAACGTTGAACATGTTTATTAAACATGCTACTTCATTTTGTCTTAAGCAACCGTTGTGTTTTATAAACAAGAACTACATAATCAGCATCCTCTTCTAGAAAAGTTGCTTAAAACATGGCTACTCATAGTTATAAATAACATTTTAAGTATTTAAGTTCGATTTAAGATGGAAGGATTTAATTTAATCATGGAGGAGTTTTAATTAAAGTTCGGATTTCAGTATATTAGGTATAATCTTTATTTGTTTTTTCTTTTTTATTCTGGAAAAACTGCGTTTGAGGGAAAAGATGCAATATAAAATTTTTCTGATTTGTTCATTCAAGAATTTAGTAGCATTTATTACACAGAGTTTTAAAGTAACTGCCATATTTACTGTTTCCACATTCTGTTAATTTGATTAAAATTGCATATACAGTTTATTATTTTACTTCAAGATGGTGGTACGGTTTTGTTTGTATTCCTGATATTTGAACACTTCTATATTTTGGCTAAGTAAATCGCAGTAACAGAGACCAAACAAGAAGAAACAAAAATAAATAAACTTACATAACCTAATATATAAAAAAATAAAAAAAAAATCGAATTTTTACAATTCTCCAAGTAATTATGCAATTTACTACTGTTTAGTGGGTATTTTTAAGTTACAGCATGAACAAATTAGTCCTTCTAAACATTTTGAAGGTAATTTACTTGTTTATCTATTTGTATACATTTATTATGGTGCATTGTCTTTTAAATAGCTTAGGGGTGGACATGCACGTCACATTACAAGTTGTTCACAATTAAGAACAAATGAGACTACACAGCCCCCATTTCCAGTACCTGAATTTACACCCCCCAAAAATGAAACATTGAAAAATAAGAAGGCACGGTACTAAAATGTTTAATTGCAAGTATAAATGGTATAAATTAATAAATAAATATTTTAGACTGGTTTATCAATCAAGGAAAAGGGGAATGCTAGAAAATGGATTACTTTTGAGTACTTTTATCCATAAATATTTAGATACAATGACAGAAAATCAACTTGACCTGTATGATAGGTAAATTTAACTTTGTTATCTAAAATATTATATTGTATTTGTCATGCATTAGTTTAATTGTTTTTCTAGTTTGATTAACAAACCTTCAAATGACTGGGATCTTTACTACTGGGCTGTAGGTGTCCAACCCACACCTCCTGAATTTGACAACGAAATTATGGACTTGTTTAAAAAGCATGTCCAAAATCTGAGCAAAGAACCTCGTATTAGACAGCCTGATTTGTATTAAATTTTATTACTGATATAATTTAATATCAATGTATAGATGTATTTAACATAAATATATGAAAATAGTAATTTTGTATTATTTATTTAAAAAAATAATAAGTGTGCAGGCAACTTTTTCTACATCTGTGTTTAGTGGAAGGTGCAATGGAAATTATTCTAGTTTTTACGTTTTTACCCGCGACTTTATTATTTCTAATTGTTTATAATAAATACAATTGTTATTAGGGATAAACAATTTAAAGAAGTAGTCTAAACTCTAGACTATACCCCGACAATCTGTCTGTCCTTAAACTTAGGCAGTACAGACAAGTATTTTTTATAGGTCTTTTTTATTTTATGAAAATGGCAATAATCATAGCCTAAAAATGACAGTTATTTTAATATTACCAAACCACATTTCAATTTTATTTGTATGTAAAGAATACAGTAGTTGCTGTAACTAATAAATAATAGTTAATTTTGTGTGTTGGGTTGCCTGTATGGCACATTAAATATTGTATAAGTTTAAGGCGTAAAAACTCCTATACAAGGTGATTCGTTATTAAGGTTATCGTAATCCCATTATCATTTTGCATGTTGCTTTATATTTTCTTTATAAGAATTGCAAAAAATTTAGACTTTTAAAATTAACATTTGCAGTTTAAAGAAGTCCCTATTTATAAAGTTAAAAATCAGTAGTTTACTGCTTTTGAAAATATTTTAAGAGGCGATATGTCTTATGTTCAAAACGGCTTAGACCTCTTCTTTTTAAACTTCTTTAAGCAGCAGAAAACTATTAAATTACATTTTACTATTTTTGATTCACTTTAATTTGTGATATAAAATCAAGGAAAAACAGTAAATAACAGCTAAACCTTCAATTTCAGTTGATTCCAAATTTACTTTTGCGGTCATCTTGCCTTTTCATTACGAAAGACCATATGCTTGCATACTGCTATTACAATAATAGACATTTGTAAAATATACTGGAGGTTTATATATTTTATTTTTATGTAGAAAACCAAAGAATGTTGCATGAGTGAATTTATTTAACAGATGCAGATGTGGTAATAATGTTTCGAGGTGTCCTGAAGATTAAATTGATCTAAATCGTACATGTGGTTCTTTTCTAACGATAAGTGATAATGTTGATTTTTCCTTTAGTTTTCTATAAAAATAAACTTGGCGCAGCTTTAGTATCGCTATACCTAGGGGTATACCCCTGGTTTATTTTGTTTAACGTGGTGATTCCTACTTCATGAGTGCAGGATGGGATACGCTCATGCAACCAGCGAACGGTGACCGAACCCTCCACTACATATTTCTCCCAGGAGGTGAGCAAAACTCCTAAAACCCTTCGATGCAGGCGGGATCTATAATCCCTACCAGATTTAGTAGGCTTTGTACCTGAGTAGATATACGCTACTCACCCATCGAGGTGTCTACAAGTTCAACTTCAGATGGTCGGGCAGTTATGAAGATTTCCAACTTGAGGCCCCCGGGTCTTCCTTAGTACCAGTCTTCGTCACTGATTGGATGTTCGAGAGATGAATCCCTTTCTCAGAGACGGGAAAAACAATTATTCAAGCACAAATAATAATTTTAGTAGGCCGTACTCCCTCAAAGTTATATTGACCAGAGATCTATGGACAATTGTTCTGAAAAATTCGAAGATGCTACCCCCGACCGCAAAGCTAATAATGATCTCACTTCGATTCAACAGAAAGGACTAGCTGACTTCCGCGTAGAACAACAAAGAAGACTGAAAAGTAGCCCAAACTGGGAAAGAAAAAAAAGGTGCTCCCAAAGTTGTTGAGGAAACAGGAGACCGCTCGACGATAAGAAGCTTACTGATATCTGTGGACACCTGGACGAGAGTTTTGGACGCTGATAGATTAGTGGAAGTGGCTATGGTAAAGCCTGTGACAAGGTCCTCCACAATAGGCTTCTGATGAAACTCTCCTCACTAGGCATACGCGGGAAGATCCTCGATTGAATCCGAAACTACTTGTTGGAGGGTTGATGATTCCATCTCTACACCAAAGTCGGATTGTACTTGACCAACTTCAAGTAGATCTTTACTCCATGATGACAAATTATTTATCTCACTGAACGAGTCTAAGTGCAAACTCCTCCATCTACGGACAATACTCTCTGGCTCAATTACTGTCTGGGAAACATTGTCTTGGAACCCACGACTATCCACACAGATCTCGGTGTTAACATAACAGAAAATTTGAAACCTCTCACAAAAAGGCAAATAGGACTACAAAGGCGAATAGGACTACTTCGTGTTGAGGAAAGCTTTCGGCACAAAGAACACTCAGTTAGTTAAAACCATCCCTGCTATGAAAAGGTCGCCTAACTTGAGAGGTTCTAGAGGAAAATGACCACAATGACCTGAAATGTCCACAAAGATGCGCTGGGAATCGTAATCCTCAAACATTTTATGATTGTGTGTTATTTGATTTTGTAATTTTTTCTCTGCAGCTTATCCTAAGTATATTGTGGGGGTATTCCATAATAGATGTTTAAACACTTTCCAATAAGTGCTCGTGAAAACAAGTATATTTTCGGGTACAATGTTGCATAATATAAAGTTATTTTAAGCCTCTAACTGAATATGTATTTTCTAGAAGAACAGTACATAAAAGTTTTAAAAGCTACCATTAACCCCAGGTTATTTTTACGAGGTTCAAGACCAGAACCATTTGTAGGTAAATCTATTTATGAACAGAATATTTTGTTATATAATGCAGTAACGGTTCGTAGACTTACTCTACGAATGGGAACAGTAGTAAAGGAACTTTAGCTGTTTAATATTATAAAAATGTCCTATATTGATCTTTTTAATGTTTTAATCTAGTGTTAATTTATCCTATTACTTAATTTAGCCCGTTTATCGCAAGTAATTGTTTGGTTATTCAACAGAAAATCAATAGAATTTATTTCTAAATTATGAATGTAATTCAAATGTGCACAAAACAGTCAATAAGTCAAGAATAGAGATGTAGATTATCATTACCATAAATTTTCACTGCGGCACTGAATATTTTATTACGGAAAATAGTAATATAAAACAGTTAGGTTAGGATTATAAGGTTACGGTAGGAAAAGACTACACAACCGCAAGGAAGTATACGTATATTGTCTGACATCAGGATCTTAGATTGCTAGTTTTTTTAAATACATGTGGTCTTAACAACAGTAATATATGTATGTAAAAGCGATGTCATCCAAACCAAAATTAAAAAGTATGACAGAACGCATAAATTTTCATTAAATCGAATTTTCTCAAACTCGAACGTAACTGGTTCGAATGCAAGAGAAGTTCCACTGAATTATTGAGCTGCACTATTTTATTTTATTCACATGTGTGCACATGGTATATAGTTGATGGGTGTGTTTGTATTTGTAATCTCGAAACTGCCAGTCTGTTCTCGAACGTGTAACTACATCTCTAAAGTCAGCCGTTTCAGTATTTGCCCCGTGCTATTTTGGTAGCTAAACATTTAAAAATCATAAACGAAAATAGCCCGCGAAACTCAGACGCCTTCATGAGCCTTTTTGAAGCATTCCTATAACGCACATTCGTAAACATGATCCTACACGTGTACGTATATACTTACAAATACATTTCGTATAACGATGTGTGTTACGAAAAAACTTAATAAAGTAATTCCAAAAATATTACCTATTTTTGTTTCTGTCGAATGAGTTCTTTTTTATTTTGCTCTTTTAAGGACAGTATATCAACATTTTAGAAACCTTTAAATTCCTAAGGGTTTTGTCTCTAAGTTTGAGAATAACTTCAAGGATTTGTTTTTGTACACATAGGCACTCTTCAAAGCCTAAACTTATATGCAAGATTTTTTTGACAAATTATTAAGTATATGGTCTTATTTAAAAATGGCAAATGGATATAAAAAATAGAGCTATTTCACAAATTTCTATAAACCATTTTTGTTTAAGTAAACTAAATTTTTGAAAAATGGATATGATTTTCACCCACACCGAGTTTGAACAGTTTCGGGATGATAATTCGGACCTGAAATTAGACGAAATACGTTTCCGTTTTTTAAAAATTACTTGCAATCAGCGATGGGTTCTCTTATTAGTTTATTTACTTTCTAGTACGTCCCAAGAGAAGGAAGTACGACATTCCCTCCTTGGAGATGGAAACAGACTCTCAGGAGAGGTCCTGAAAATTTTTTTGCTGTATCTTTACTTTAATTACGATGATTTTTTTGGATTTCAGGAATAAAAGCGCAACATAACCTACCACGTGGAAACCACTTTCGGTAGGGATCTAATAAAAAGGATTTTATTTTCCTCCTCGTAATTTCCACCGTTGCTTTCGTTTAGATGATTTTAATTTTCACTGGGAGAATTATAAAATCCGGTAAAAGCTATTACTTACACGGGACTGGTCATTGCGTTTTCGTCCTTGAAATCAAGAAATAACATCATATTTTCGATAGGGATATGGTATAATGGATTTTACCATTCCACGCGTGATAATTTCTATTCAAATGATGGTAAAATATTTCCCAATAATGAATAAATGCGACTTCTTAACTGGGGGTGAATTTTATGTTTCCGTTGCTGAAATGAAGGGAAAACATCGTACTTTCTGTAGGGATATGGTGAAAACCATTTTTTGTCATGTTAGCGCGGAAAGCTCGTTTTGCATGCTATGAAATAGGGAAGAAATGGCCTCTTTCAGCCGTGTTTTAGTCGGGAGGAAATTAAATTAGTCTTTTGAGCGTATGCGCTCAAGTTTATGGGCATGCGCAGAAATCAGTTGTTCAATGACAATGTCTTTCTAACCTCTAAATCATTTACTCTTATTTCGCCAAATATCAATTTAATGACGAGCTTTTCGCACAAACATGACAAAAAATAGTATACGTATCTCTGTCTCAAAAATTGATACTTCAGACTACGTGTTTCTCACTCGTACGTAGTCTGAAATATCCACTTTTCAGACCTCGATACGTGATGTACTATTACCCTTTCATCTATGAAACCAGGAAAAGCTGCACTTTCGGGGCAAGGTATGGTAATAATTAGT